ACCCAGGCAGAGGAAAGCCTTTCACCACCACACAAAATATTCTACCAAATTTGAAGAAATAATGGACCAGATGCATAGATTAGGACACTTGAAACATGACAATAAGGAAAACATGACACTTCCAAAAAAGACATAGCTACATTCCAGTAATAGACTCCAAGAAAAAAGAAATTCATGAAATGCTTGAAAAGGAATTCAAAATGATGACCTTAGGGAAATCCAGTGAGAAATGGAGTGTAGAGCTAGACAATTCAACAAAATCAAAAACAATTCAGGATTTCCAATGAAGAAAGAAATTCAAAAAGGATATAGATATCATTAAAAAAAGAAGCAGACAGAAATCATGGAGCTTAAAAATTCAATGAATGCAATAAGTATGCAACTGATACCTTAAAGTGTTACATTGCTGCTGTGGTTTAAATCTACAGTATCCCCCAAAGCTTCACTCATTTGGAAAGTGATTCGATCATTGGATTGATCAGTGGATTTATGGGTTCAGTGGCTGAGCATGCACGAAGATCCCTGGGGATGTGACCAGGAAGGATGTATCCCCACACAGCTCCTCCCTTCTCTCTCTGATTTCCCACCACCATGATGTGATCAGCTTTCTCCACCCAGGCCCTCCCACTATGCCATTTGTGCCTGGCAGCCAGCCAACCATGAGCCAAAATAAACCTCTTCTCTTTTAAGTTGTGAGTGTCCAATATTGTGTCTCAGCAATGGGAAATCACACTCAGACAATCCCAAAGAGGGCCAACTTAATCTTTTCAAGTAATTCTCTCCCTCACTCAATCTATACCATCTTCTATCTTACTGTATTTGTTTGTGCATTCAGAGAGCAAAATTTATATCAATGAATTCTACTAGATATTATCATTTGATTCAAAGTAGTGTAATAGACTATTATACTGGTTTCTGACAAAAAACTATTCATCTTTAAAAATTGTAAAACACCTTAATAATTTAATCTTCGCAATAACATTGAGAGGTGTGTGTGTGTGTGTGTTTCTGTGTGTCTGTGTCTGTGTGTGTATGATTCTCAGAGAATCAGAAACATGCCAGGAACACATATGATCAAAGACTTGAATTTAGTTAGAATTTCTGAGGCTAAATTTCCTGTTTTTCCTAATGCTGCTCTCATATATACTTTATAACTATAATCATTCTAGCTTTCTTTCTGTGCAGAGTGTCAAAGACTTTAGTTTTCATATTTTGTTTATTTGAAAAGATTTTTAAAATACTAGGCACTTCCAAAGATGGTAACTATTTTATATGTGATCACCACACCCATGTCACAACAATGCCATTTTGTTTGGTGTTCACATTAAAATATTAAAGGATAAACTCAGAATATAAATCTTTTTCAGCCTATAAGGCCAGAAGTTATTTTGTAAACAAAAGCATGGGATTTATTTTAAATGTTATAGGTTATCTTTAGTCCAAAGATCAAAATTTTATTTTATTTAGGGTATTTTATTATTTTTTATTAGTATATGTCTGCCATATTTAATGATTACATTCATAGTGGAGACTTGGTACAGGTACATGACATCTTAATTCTTTTTCATCACCTTTCCCCCTCTTCCTCCATAGATAGATCTTTTGCAAAAGAGAAGAGGACAGAGATTTTATTTTAATTTTTTAAAACTTCTGCTGAATGGTTGATATATGGAAACAGCTAAAGTAGAGAATTTTACAATAAAAACTAATAGATTAATAGATTTATATCCTTAATGTTTGTCTTTCTAGAGATCACTTTGTTATTCATTTGGCAAAAAAAAAATCAGAAACGGTGATTTGCAAAAATTAGAAAAATAACATGCACGAGTAACATTCTCAGTAATCCTACTTAAGAAAGTTTACTCTAAATATAGAAATATGCTTTACTATAAATTGTCAGGTTAGGTTATCTAAAGAATTATATTTAATGATAAGACTGAAAAACGGAATAAAACATTGCAAAGGAAAGCCCTTTTCTTCAGTCATGGAGATGAACATGACAGTCTCCTGACTAATTGCATTATTTATTTTGAATCTTCAAAGAACCATAAAAGGCTTTTGTTCCTCGGTTTCAGATAAATATATTGAGGTCCAAAATTTAACCATCTTCCTGATAACAGCAAAGCCAGAATTAAACTCAGTTGTCCTGGATTTACTTCCATTATAAAAAGTCATCACAGTTTAGAAGATAAACATTTTCCATTTAAACTTTAGAAGGTTGCTTAAGTGGAAGGGTATGTTTGAGTAGAATTTTACTTCTCCATTTATGCATTTCCCAATTTTTACTTTAATTTTATTTTAACATAAAGAAAGGGAGTAAAATAAAGCAAAACCACAAATATCTCTCAAAACAACTAGAAACAAATGTGCTTAATTCCCTATTTAAATCAGGTTTAACATAAAGTACCAGAAAAGATTTAAGTGGTTCCATTTACCATCCATTTCATATTCAGACTTAATTAAACAAAAATTATCATGTGTAAGACAGGAGAAACATTTAGGAATATCTCAAGGTATGAAGAATTTTAAATAGCATCAAAATAAAACAATGCTTCTTGAAACTTGAGCCAGTTTTCTATTTAAAAATATTTATCTCCCATATCATAGCCAAGTTCTCTATGTTCATTACACTTAAGAATCCCATGAATACATTTAGTTTTGTCATCACAAGCTCATCACAAGCATTTCACAACAGCCCAACCTAAACACTTCTTTACAATACTCTGTATTAATTTTGCTGTTTGATTTTTTTTTTAACAAAATTTTCTTTTGCAGTTAGGGTAAACACCACTTCCTTTGCATTTGTGTAGTTTCTGCATACTGTTCTTGCCATTTACGTTTCAAACACAAAAATAAATATTTGGTAAAATTTTCTTCAACTTCCACCTGAGACAAAAGCCAGCATTCTAATTACATCAGACTGCTACAGCTGCTCACCAGACAAACAAAACTCATTTTACAAATAAATATGACTGTGACTGTGACCAGGGAATACAACAGTGTCCTTTACACTGACCCACTATTACGGTGTAATACTTGGTTATCACCCTCATATATCTGACACAATTTGATTCTCATTATTTCTTGCTTTTTGAAGAACTCAAGGTACAACAATAAAATCAACAAAAGAGAAAAAAAAGAGTGAACATAAAAAATGAGTTACTACAGTAACTCAAAATTTCCACAAAACAAATAAGAATACTCATTGCCATAGATTTTGAAAGTAGGTTTTGATTTTGGATGAGAAGGAGGCACTGCATATGGGAACATTAATAACTTTTTCTCTGGGTTGTGTAGCTTCAACCTTCACAGCTGCTTTTCTTAGAACTATGTAAACAAGCATTGGTGACAAAATTAAAATAAAACGAGACAGATGGAAGAGCATAAATTAGATTTTTTTGCTCAGGTTCCTGTTACGACAGTAAGTTGCCCTTTATTTACAGTATTGACATCTACACTGGAAATACTTTCTTTTCTTTTAATCTTCTTCACCTTCCACAATCATTGGCCTGGACTTCTAAATGCTTGAAAAACTAATCTTTTCCTTGTTTCATACCTAATCAATCACTCAGCAATGTTCAAGTATTAAAGTTACTGCCTCTTCTATTCCACAGCCTCAGTTAAGGCCTCCATGTCTCTCCTGGGCTCCCGTATGACCTTTAACCTGCCTATCTGTCTGTTCTCTTGTCTAATCCCATCCTCCTTCACACCTGTGGCATTATTTAAAGTTGCTACTTGATTGCAACCTGACTGGATCCCCAGACACTTCAGGGTAAATTTCTAGCTCCTCCTTTTGGGTAAGGAACCTCCTTATGAGCTCATTCCAGCCACCTTACTCTGTCTTGTCCTCTTCCACTTTTTCAGTGCTGAGAAAGATTTTTACAAGCTAGAAATACTTTGCAGGCTATACATTTTTTGAGGGCAAAAGCCTTGTTTTATTTATGTGTTTATTTCCAGTACTAACTATTAGTAACAAATGCTTTTTTTTTATATTTCTACCTTTTTTTTGTTGTCCCCCCACCATGTGAATTTCTCTGTTCTTATTTCTTGTTTTCCACCTAGTAGATTTTTTTTCCTCAAAGTTTTAATAGTGCCTCCTTCTTAATAGAATTGGCTGACACAGACCTTTAAAAATTAATTGCTATCTCCTGTCCAAACTTATTTTAGCAGAGTTCACACTTTAAGATAACTACTTGTTTCCATATCTTTCTCCTTTTTTAAAGTGTGAGCATCTTAAAGACAAAAGAGTATGTCTTAAAATCTTCAAACCTCTCGGAGCCTAGAACAGTTTCTGAAATATTATTATAATGTGTTAGTTACTGTTTTAATGATTTTCCATTACTTCATTTATTGAAAGTTTATCATACATATTTATTAAATAAAATTTAAATTATACAAACTTTTATAAAATATCTCACTAGAAAAATATCACAATATTGAACCCTATTTGAGGATTCAGAGAATAAACTAAATAAATGGCAAGTTTACAGTTACAGAAAGATAATCTTTTTTTATTCATTAAGTTTATTGGTACATTTTAGATATACAATATGATGACGTTCATCATTGGGAATTTATACCTTTACATGATGTATCTTGGTTCTTATTTTTTTCCCCATTCCCCTCCCCTCCCTCCAATCCCTCCAACCCCTCCCTATTTACAAAGACTTTGTTTCCATTTTTCCCTTTTCTCATATTTATTCCTTTTCCTTCTTTCCTTTGTCCTACCCTTCCCATTTCCCCTTCCTGGATAAAGATAATCTTGAAGGGAGGGGAGGGCAATGGGGAAAGAAAGAGGCATCAAGATATATCATGTACAGGTACAAATTTCCTATGATGAATGTGATCATTATGTAGATTTAAATAGTACCAATAAACTTAATGAAAAGATAAAAAATCAATAAAATAAAATATTTTCATAAAGGAGACTAGCAAGCGGACATAAAGTAGAACATAATAAATTGTTTTTTGTTGTCTTACTATTTTCTTTTTTGTCACAGACCAGTTGGATTTTCAGAAGCTGAATATCCACGAGTTGAATATCAAAGGAGACAGCAATTTTGGGACCCTATAAGGCTTGCTCTTTTTACCTTAACAATTGTAGCAATCATAGGAATTGCAATTGGTATTGTTACTCATTTTGTTGTTGAGGGTAAGTACACACATCATATTTCTGTTGCCTAAGTACTCCATGACTTAGTATCTTGAAATTCTCTGCTAATAAAATGTGACATTCACATGATATTAACATTATAACTACTAATCTTTTATTGGTGTTGAATTATAGGTTGCTCCTACAGTGAACTCTGTTACATATTTGCACCCAGTAAAATTTGAAATATACATACATTAGCAGATAAATCTAAGAAAATATGATTTTAAAAGGAATGAAAAAGTTATCTTTAAAATAAAGATGAATGACATCATGTGATGAGCTTAATACGTTTTTCTCAGATTCAGTATATTAATGAGTTTCCTCAAGAAACACTCAGGATATTAAAAGATTTACCGAAACAAATCCTTTAACGGGCTAAAAGTGAAGCATTTCTTTTGAAGAAACCCCAGATTGTTTCATTGGAAGAGAAGATGGAAACACTGAGAATTGATTCCTAATTATATGGCAAAGAAGGCAGTCAGTACCACAAATAAGCACATTGACAATAAAGTAAGATTCATTTGCCCTTCCCTCGATTTGTGTGCTTGTACTCAGAGATGAGGTGAATCTTTACCTAAAATTTTAGAGATTCACATCAGTGAATGTTAAAACTATTCTTGGAATACCTCTGAGGAAAAAATTAAATATCATCCAACGTGTTCAGCTTACCTTCCTACCACTTTTATTGGCGGAGGGGTGTTAATATCTATTTCTTAGAGTCTCATAAAATAAAAAACATAAATCAAGTTGTCCTCTGAAATTTTGTCTTGTTAACACTTTCTTTGATTTAAAAAGTAATGAAGTAGTTTTTTGTTTAAAATGCCCTCCACTACCAATGCTGGAGGTGTTCAAAGTGAGGGAATAATAAAAACAATGGCAAAAAAATTATTGTTTAAAATACTGTCATAGAGATTATGATAGGCTGAATGATGTCTCATCCTCACCCAAAGATGTTCATGTTCCAAATTTTAGAACCTGTGATGTTATTGTACAGCAAAAGGAGCATTCAAAACATAATTAAGAATTCTGGGATTGGAATACTATTGTGAATTTTCTGGATGGGCTGTCAATATAACTACAAGGGTCCTCATAGGAGAGGAAATATGGTCAAAGAAGAAATGAAGCAGTGTGATAACTTGAAGGAGGGAGGAGGAAAATGTATTATGGGGTCATGAGCCAAGTGATGAGGGCAGTTGCTAGAAAAGAGGAAAGAAGCAGATTTTCCTCTCAGAGTCCCCATAAAGCCAACATATGATGTTAGCCCGATAAAAGTGACATCAGACTTCAACATCCAGAATGGGACAAGAATATATTTGTGTAGGTTTAAGCCACTGAACAGCAATAAGAGACTACTCCAAAGGTAAAACACTCAGGATTTGAGAGAGCTATCACTAGGATATCCCATGAGGATACTGAAGAGTCGCCTGAGTAGAGATAGGTATTTAGTAAAAGAAAGAAGAAAGTAGACCGTGACAAAGGGTGAACAAGTAGAAGGGGATAAAATAAAGGCATCTAGGGCCGAGCATTTAGCTCAGAGTTTCCGCTACCTGCCTCACAAGCACAAGGTCCCGAGTTCGATCTCCGGTACAAAAAAAAAAATAGAGGCATCTAAGATGATATATGAAGCTTTAAAAGGAACATACACATTTTCATAATATAGAGAAATACATGAAAGAGATCACATTGTAATAGGATAATGAGAAGAAAAATTATTTTTAAAATACTGTTTTTAAAAATGTAAATAAATCTAAGGGAAGATGAATAGAGAAAATTAAAGATATGAAATAATCACAATCAAATAAGAACTTCAATAGACATAAGTTGTTATAGTTATATCACCAGGATTGATATACATTTAATAGAATAATCATAATTCTGAATAATTACAAATGATGAGCTTTAACTATATCAAAATTCTGACCAATACTCATTTAAAATAGATTTTAAAATAAGCAATAATAAAATAATCCAGTAACCTAGAATATGTTTCATTTATCAGTCCCTTCCAGCCAAAGACAATAAGAAATGCATCTATGCTTGGGGTTTTTACTGCTTAGAGAGAAGAGCATAAGCTGTGGGAATCACAGGGCTGCTTAACATAATATTATGAAAAAGGATGTATTTTAAGATTTTGCCTTGTGATGAGTGATTTGGGGAGAGTTGAAGGAACTCATTTTCTCTCAAATGGATGCCATCAAAAGGCTGGAATAATGCTGTGATTAGGTAGCTTAATAAATTTCAACTAGAAGATCTGAATAAAGAGAGATTAAAGCTGCAAATAAGCAAAGAAGCAGCTGTCACTCATATTGGTTAGGATAAGTTTCCTTTTGTTTTGCTTTTTTGTGTTGTTTTGAGTAATGTTCATGTCTTTGAATTCAGACATCTTATAGAATGGTCTGATTTTTGTCTTGACCTAATATGGCCACAGAGTGGCTATGTCTGATGTTGATGTTCTAAAGAATACAAAAATCTAGCCTTTAGTACCAAAGCAACTTCTGCATGTTGGGGGCTTGTTTTTCTGTTTCTCAGGTTTTATATTTGTGACCTGATACATTTTTGTGCTAACTGAATATTGTTTTAAGAAATAATTTCTGTGCTATTGGCTATCAAGTGCTTGTTTTTTTCCATTTCTGTTGCTGTAACAAATTATGTAATGCTGGGTGCTTATGAAGCTCACAGTTTAGGAGGCTAAAAGAAAAAAAAGGGGCACTCCATTGAATTGGTCTCTGGCAAGGGTCCCCTTGGCTGGGTCACAACACAGTGAATCACAACACGGCAGGAGCATGTATGGAAGAGATCACATGATGACATAGGAAATCAGAGAGTTTGAAGGAACCAGTCTTGACATTAGTCCCTTCTGAGCCAGTGCCCCCAATGCCATCATCACCTTCCACTCAGCCCCAGAGTAGAGACCAAGCTTTCAACCCATGAGCCCTTGGAAACAAACAGCACCCAGGCCATAACAGTGCTTGGTAGAATTCATATCTCTAAATTTTATTCCTCAACATGATGAAAAGACTGATAAACTGCTGTATTACTTATATTCAGGATTTTTATTTAGATTCTCATTTTTTATTTTATCAAAGAAATATTTTTTTTTAAAAATGAAATCTTAGTAGAGCTTTAAATAAATATGACAGCATTTCACTTTTTTTGAGGTTCATCCCTACTCAAAATTGTTGCAAGAGTCATCTACCCTGTTGTATACAGCATTAATACATTTATTTTCATTATTAGCTTGGAATCCATTGTCTTAAATATTCCATAGTATTATACCTTGTATCTAGATGTTCCCCCAAAGCCTTATGCACTCATAGGTGGGGCTTTTTGGAGGTGGTTTGATCTAGAATGTGTAAATATTGATTAAGTAAGTGTGATATTTAAATCATCCATGGATTGGTTTAGAGTAGTTCTGGATGTAGATAATGAGAAGGCTTGCCCTGCGTGTGGATAGCACCATCCAATAGGTCTGTAGCCTGAATGGGATAAGAATCCTAAAAGTTCACTGCTTGCTGCTTGCTGCCTCCTTCCTACCTTGCCATGGACTGTTTCCCCTCTGCGATGCCTGTTTGTTATGCTACCCTACCTTGGTGCCAGGTGACTGTGGACTGAAACCTCTACAAACTGTGAGCTAAAATAAGCCTTTCCCCCTTTTAACTTGTGAGTGTCATGTATTTTGTCTCAGCAATGAAAAATTAACTAAGACACATAGTTTACTTATCTATTCAAGTGTTCTTGGACATTTATGTTGTTTTAGGTTTTAGAAATTAAAGCTATACCACTTCGACCTTCTTTTGCATATATCTTGATATCTGTGTGTGTGTGTGTGTGTGTGTGTGTGTGTGTGTATGTATGCATGAATTTGCCTAGGAAGCATATAGTTATAGAATTAACTGCTGAATCATTGCACATATGCTTTTAAAAATTTTAATGGATGATGCTGCACTGTTTTCTTTCATTACCATGTGGTGATTCCCATTACTCCATATCATCAATACGTATTTGCTTACCTTTTGTATTTGGTAATTTCCTGTAGGTTATAGTGTTAATGTGGTGATTTTAATTGTATATACCCAATCGTTTTGAGGACCTATTCATGTATCAATTAGTCATTTAGACTTCTTGTTATTGTAAAGTGCCTGAGATTTTGCTCATTTTTATTGATTCATCTGTCTTTGCTGAAAGAGTTTAAGTTCTTCCCGACTATAAATTCATCATCAGTTACATATTAAAATAGCTTCTGTCAGTAAAAAAGTTCACTGTATATATACATGTGTATATTTAATTATAATATCTTCCTAACTATAATATATATGCCTATCAGTGCATTTAATTATAATATCTTCATAACTACATGAGGATCTTCACCCCCACAATTCACAGAGATATGATATCAACTAGAAAAAAATCAAACATTGAATTTAAAGTTTCTCTGCCTTTTTCAGGGTATTTTAGGGGGGTTTTTGTTTTTTTTATTTTTTAGTTACTAGAATTGTATATTAAATTATTTTTAACACACTTTTATGGTATAGATTAATTGGGAAAGTTATTTAGGATTAATTATTATATCTTCTAATAAGGTAATAATAAATCTGCTTTACAAAGGTGTGTGAAATTTTGAAGGATGTAGTATTTTCACAAACCTGATTTTCTGAAGTTTTTAAAATTGTTTTGTTTTTTGGTAGTACTGGTGATTGACTTTAGAACCTTTTTCTTTGTGCTATATCCTCAGTCTTTTTTGTTTTATATTTTGAGGCAGGATCTTACTGCCCTATGCAGTTGCCCACACAGGGCTCAAACTTGTGATCCTCCTGCCTTAGCCTTAAAGAATGCTGGGATTACAAATATTCTATTTTTAAAGTTAAATTTCCTGAAAAACTAAAGAATAAAATCTGCATTGAAATAGCTCACTTCTCTTCCCATTTTATAATACTGGATCTACTTCCCAGAATGTAGATACTATGTTCTCTAATGAAATGCAGAGTAAGATGAACCTT